GGGTCAGCAGAGATACCACAGACCGGCGAATCAGCAGATATAACATACTTACAGCAGTTACCTTACCATTTGTGTCCATAGCTAATGAACCTCTGGACTGTACACAGTCCACATTCTGTCACGAATATAGACCGAATCCAATTCAACTTAATTTGGTTCCAGAGTAGAGGTTTTTTGCCTTGCCAGTTGTTCGCTGCATACCGTAAAGAGCACATATTTCGGTAGCGTCCACGTGACCAAACACAAGGTTATCCAGCGGAGAAAACCGCTGCAGCATGATTTAAGTAAATAAAAACCACATCAGATTGTACAGGGCGAGATGGCTCAGTGGTAAGAGTGCGAATTTACTGACCAGAAAGTCCGTGGTTCGAATAGATCTGTCTCTCGACTTTTCCTGTCTAGGCTTGGGAAACCTGGAAGTATCCCAGCCTTTGTGCTTCCTTACAGTGGTATGGCAGTTAAGCACCGAAAGGGTGCTACAGCTGAACAAATTTTTTTCAAACCGTAGAATAAGCCGAGTTAAATTCCGACAGTGCACACAATCAATGTGGTTCCAAAAGCATAGAGGCTTATTTCGACAAAATTTATGGAGAAGTATGGAACTCACTGGTAACCAAAATGTGTGGAGACGAATACAGAAAAATTATTTACCAACAAAAATAGGTTACATGTTTAAAAGCCCGGGGAAGAGGACGCCCTCTTGGCGGCGGCGTCGAAAAAAAAACAGAACTCAAGTCTAAATGCTGACGCGGCAATGAGATGCTCAGGTTTACTGTGAATAAACATCAGAATCGGTTGTAAACCTTGTATATGTACAGTGGCTACAACTGCCACAGTTGAGTTCACTGATGGTCGGGGAAGATAAAGTCAAAGAACGCTACGTATTGGAGACAATAACCGATGTCGTTGACGCGTAAGTTCAGAAGTGGAAAGATCGGGAGAGAAGGCAGGGCGCGAAAGCCGACAGTTTGGATTTATGCATGTCACTGAGCGCGCAGCCACGACTTATCCGCCAACTTCATTACCACCATCACAGACAGTAACACTAGTGTTGAAAATGACGCTTCCGGATCTAAAGCCACCTTGAAGTGGCAGTCGGGCTTCAGTTCTGCAATAATCCAGTGGGCTAGACTGACTAGAACTTCGCACCACAATGGGTAACCACAGTTGAAAGTTCAAAGGTGAGCAGCCAAACTTAACATAGCGAGACTACGTACTAGGAGTGATCGCGTCACGAAGCAGCCTGAAGGTGATGTCGTACCGCCCTCTGTGTGAAGTCAGTAAAGGGCTTCCCCCAGGCAACCAGCATAGCCATATTCATAGGAGCGGAGATGCGGCCTTCCCTGAGGGAAGACGGGTTACAAAAGTTCAGCCCTAGAAACCGAATACTCTAATATCCCAATCGTTGACCGTGAACTTGCCATGAACTCGATAGGGTTCAAAACGCATCTGCCGTGCGGGACAGCATCAGAAGCGGGAAATCTACGTCTTACTCTCTGCGCACTCAAGGTATCCCAGCTCTCTGCAGCCGACAAGGCCAGACAGAACCTGTAAAAGCCGCAGCAACCACTGCTAATGGGTCAATTTTTTGAGTCAGGTTAAGGGAAGGGTCCCCAAACAAAACCCTACGTCCTCCTGTCCTTCGTGAGAAAGAATTTCGAGTCAAAAGGCTCAAGGTGGGGTACATCGACTAAACCCTTTCCCTATGTTAGGCGGAATTCCACTAGATCCCGCTTTGCCGCTCGCACTCAGGTGCTGCTATGGCCGAAGTCCATCCCAACAAGACTGGCCAAGAATTCGGGACGTTTGCCGGTCCGGCATCAATCCGAGACCTGATTGGTCGAAAGTCTGGACCCAACAGCCAATCGTAACCCAGTAGTAGCCGAATGCCGGTTGCCAATGGTGCATCAGAATCTCCAGAAAGTTGTTGCGCTATTTATATGAATCGCTGTACAACTGTTCTTGACTTCGTTTTGGGTGTTAACATACCTTGTGCAACTTTGGTGGTTGTTCTGACGTGAACGCTAGGTTGGGAGGCTCAGACCGAGAACTAAGCAGATAAAAATACCGTTACTACACCCTAGGCCTGGGCAACAGGGTAGTTTCATTCGCCCACACGGTTATTTGCCCACAGATGTTCCTATCCAACCCTTTCCCAACATTTAGACAAAAGTTGGTGGGCCATTTGATTGCCAGTTAACTGATCGATGTGTCTTATTCGCCTCATTCCACATTAGCAATAAGCAAAATAACATTGATAAGTCCACGAGATCCTTTCTGCATCGGGGCTTTTTACATCTGCACTCTACGTCGAATTGGCAAACACGTAATGCCTGCCTGGGCCTAATATTGATTCTCTGTGTGAAACACGCATACAAAACCCTAGTGTGTTTATGCATCTTCAAATATTAAGAACAAAATTAGTTCTCTCACATTTCACTCTGAGGCTTTCTGATGATCTGGGGGCGATGACTTGTAGGAGTTGTCTGGCTTCATTCGTAAGAAAGAAGCACTGACATTGTGAGCCCAGCGAACGATACGAATGCCCGAGTCTGAGCTCCTTGGAATCATAAGTGGGTGATCTATTCGGAGTTGGCGCTCGGCACACAGAAAATGGAGAGTGTGTAGACCATAAAATGCTCCTAGACAGCACGAATTTTCCATATAAGCACTCACACGCTGTAAGCTGACAGCCATCAAGTGCAAGTCAAACGTAGACACAATTAGACCAAGTGGCTGTAAGTCACCGGTAGAGAGCCACGGTTCAGGACTGCCGTTTCATCCGGGACACAATTTGGTTCCGAGCACGACTAACAGTTCGCATGCTTTCAGGCCCTCACAAGTTAGTAAGAAACATGCCAATCCACCATATTTGAATAAGTACGACAGCTCAGCGGTTTCGATCTGGGCTAGCTCAACAACTCTGCATAGTAAACCGATGGTGTAGAAATTTTTTAAAAAAAGCAAATCGTTCAGTTGTAACACCTTTCCGGTGCCTGGCCGCCATGGAACCCGGAGGAAGCACGAGGGATAGGATACCGCCAGGTTGCCCAAGCCTAGACAGAGAGGTCGAGAGACAGAGGTCGGGTTCGAACCACAAACCTTACATCAGTAAATCCTCGCTCTAATCACCTGAGCCATCTAGTACCCAATACTGTACTGGTAGGGAGTGTAGAGGTCACTCACTAGATCACGCGGCACAAACGTTAAAATCACGTAACAATCTTGCCCCATTTGCAGGCGACATGTGCACTACAAATTCCCATCCCATCCATTCCCAGGCTTGCGAATTTCAACATCAGGTCAAGTTTTATTCATGTTCGTGCGATCATCAAACACGAATGGATACCCCTCTCTTCTCTTACAATAAATAGGCATTCAAATCGATCAACACACACACGAACAGGGTAAAAGCCGCAGCAACCACTGCTAATGGGTCAATTTTTTGAGTCAGGTTAAGGGAAGGGTCCCCAAACAAAACCCTACGTCCTCCTGTCCTTCGTGAGAAAGAATTTCGAGTCAAAAGGCTCAAGGTGGGGTACATCGACTAAACCCTTTCCCTATGTTAGGCGGAATTCCACTAGATCCCGCTTTGCCGCTCGCACTCAGGTGCTGCTATGGCCGAGAAGTCCATCCCAAGCAAGACTGGCCAAGAATTCGGGACGTTTGCCGGTCCGGCATCAATCCGAGACCTGATTGGTCGAAAGTCTGGACCCAACAGCCAATCGTAACCCAGTAGTAGCCGAATGCCGGTTGCCAATGGTGCATCAGAATCTCCAGAAAGTTGTTGCGCTATTTATATGAATCGCTGTACAACTGTTCTTGACTTCGTTTTGGGTGTTAACATACCTTGTGCAACTTTGGTGGTTGTTCTGACGTGAACGCTAGGTTGGGAGGCTCAGACCGAGAACTAAGCAGATAAAAATACCGTTACTACACCCTAGGCCTGGGCAACAGGGTAGTTTCATTCGCCCACACGGTTATTTGCCCACAGATGTTCCTATCCAACCCTTTCCCAACATTTAGACAAAAGTTGGTGGGCCATTTGATTGCCAGTTAACTGATCGATGTGTCTTATTCGCCTCATTCCACATTAGCAATAAGCAAAATAACATTGATAAGTCCACGAGATCCTTTCTGCATCGGGGCTTTTTACATCTGCACTCTACGTCGAATTGGCAAACACGTAATGCCTGCCTGGGCCTAATATTGATTCTCTGTGTGAAACACGCATACAAAACCCTAGTGTGTTTATGCATCTTCAAATATTAAGAACAAAATTAGTTCTCTCACATTTCACTCTGAGGCTTTCTGATGATCTGGGGGCGATGACTTGTAGGAGTTGTCTGGCTTCATTCGTAAGAAAGAAGCACTGACATTGTGAGCCCAGCGAACGATACGAATGCCCGAGTCTGAGCTCCTTGGAATCATAAGTGGGTGATCTATTCGGAGTTGGCGCTCGGCACACAGAAAATGGAGAGTGTGTAGACCATAAAATGCTCCTAGACAGCACGAATTTTCCATATAAGCACTCACACGCTGTAAGCTGACAGCCATCAAGTGCAAGTCAAACGTAGACACAATTAGACCAAGTGGCTGTAAGTCACCGGTAGAGAGCCACGGTTCAGGACTGCCGTTTCATCCGGGACACAATTTGGTTCCGAGCACGACTAACAGTTCGCATGCTTTCAGGCCCTCACAAGTTAGTAAGAAACATGCCAATCCACCATATTTGAATAAGTACGACAGCTCAGCGGTTTCGATCTGGGCTAGCTCAACAACTCTGCATAGTAAACCGATGGTGTAGAAATTTTTTAAAAAAAGCAAATCGTTCAGTTGTAACACCTTTCCGGTGCCTGGCCGCCATGGAACCCGGAGGAAGCACGAGGGATAGGATACCGCCAGGTTGCCCAAGCCTAGACAGAGAGGTCGAGAGACAGAGGTCGGGTTCGAACCACAAACCTTACATCAGTAAATCCTCGCTCTAATCACCTGAGCCATCTAGTACCCAATACTGTACTGGTAGGGAGTGTAGAGGTCACTCACTAGATCACGCGGCACAAACGTTAAAATCACGTAACAATCTTGCCCCATTTGCAGGCGACATGTGCACTACAAATTCCCATCCATTCACGCGCCAGGCTTGCGAATTTCAACATCAGGTCAAGTTTTATTCATGTTCGTGCAATCATCAAACACGAATGGATACCCCTCTCTTCACACTGCACAAAACAAATAGGCATGTGTCATGGTTTTTGTGTGCTTATTATTATACTTATCATTTATACTCGTATTGAACCTTTGTATGTACATTTAAACCCATCCGCGCTTGTTTTTAGACAAGTAAAATGTTGCTCATCCTCGAAAACCCGGACTCTGTTCTAACTCATTCTCGGACACATTCTAAACGTCTCAGCATGCAATTTGGCCCAAAAACATACTCGCGCGCACAGGACAGGAAGTCAACCGGGTTCCACAAGTCTCCATGGACAACTACAGAACACATGCAGCAACTATACTTTATAGAAGACACGTCCCGCGTCCGGAACTTCACTCTTAACAGTCGTCCTCAGACGACAAGTCTTTTCGGCTTATTCCCTTCCTGTATTGTATGTATTTTAATCAAGTGCACACAGCTTTTGTAACCATCATCATTCTGATAGAACAGACATCTGTCAGTGCTTGTCACCTTCTGACGGTCAATCTAATTACGTTACAACCAGATCACTAACACAAACGCATGGATGAAGCAGGACAAAATGTGAAACAAATTATTCTAGTGGCGCTCAGTGCTGTCCATCCAACTTCTGCGACACGATAAAACGATGACTCGATGTCATCGAGAGCACTAGTCTTGACTGATGCCAGGAAGTCCATACCAGCAGGCAACGAGTGCGAGGACGTACACAAACGCACCAAACGCCAAATAGTGGAGTCTAAAGAAAGACCATGAGCTTTCGTGTACATCAAAGGTCTAGAAAATGGATACTTTTTTTCGTGGGGAACAGCCATGTTCTACACCAACTAATACGATCAACCATACGATCGATTGGCCGAAAAAAAGCAACGACAGTCAAACGAGTGAAAAAGACGGCTCAGTAAATCAATGGCAACAATGCTAACTGGAAAATGGGCCGAACACTTCGAAGAACAATTTATAGAAATGGGATTCGAAATACCTCAGATAAAATGCGAGAAGCCTTTCCAAAAAAAGTAGGAGGACCTCCCGTCACCATCTAACAAAACTTATTAGTGCGAATGCTAGATATCACACAGAGCGCTTGTGATGGTGATCAAGTAGGGGGGTACGGAAGCAGCCCTGTGTCCACGTTTCATAAATGCAGCCACAAAGATCCCTTTGTGCGCCCCGAATAAACGGGGCGAAGTGGATCCGATTTCGCATGGCGATTCCCGTAGGATGGTTACTTCATGAGAATTGGACTTTTCATTACACAGTCACTGGATCTTATCGTGGTGTAGTGGTTTGTGTGCCTCCGCAACCTACTGAACTATGTTAAAGGGTGCCTCTATATCAGTTTGGTCAATGGTTAGAGGTCTGACCGAAATAGTCTGGTGGTCCTCTAGGTAGGGGGTTGGAACGTGTGTGGCAAACGGTATCAAAAGGGTAATGCATCTGCATTTCTCGACAAACACCAGTGCCTTGTGGTCTAATGTGTGAACAAGGGCTTTTTTGAAGAGGCTGTGGTTAGAGCGCGAATTTACTGACCAGAAGGTCTATGGTTCGAACCCGACCTCTGTCTCTCTACTTCCCCTGTCTAAGCTTGGGCAACTTCTTGCTTCCCACTGGTGGCATGGCAGTTAGGCACCCAAAGGGTGCTATAGCTGAACGACTTCGGTCGAGGACCCTAATAGGTCCGGGCACACTAGTAGTATTCCGGCTGTGCAACCTCGGTGCACAGCTCCGGCGATCCAGAGACCACTGTAGCAGGATGTGTAAGTTTTTTTATTGTCTTAAGTCACCGAGCGGAATGATCTTTGTTGACTGGATACCCGTTGATAGTCGCCTCTGTACGCTTACCCTGGAAATGCCCGTAAAAGTCTCACAAGCGAGAAGCTGGTTGTTGTCCGTTTGTCGTGTCTACTTACTCCCCAACTGAGTGTGGCTCTAGCACCATCAAAGACAAATTTCGTGGCACCTTAAATGCCTTTTAAGGCGAGCCGGAAACCCAGATATCGTTGTGGTTGCCGGAGATCTGAATGCAAATTGGGTAGACTTAGGGTGTCTGAGATTCAATAGGATACACGACATGGACTGTGCTCGGTACGTATAGACAAAGGGGAAAAACTTCAGCTCTATGCTGACCGCAGTCTCTTATCATAAGTACGAACTTCCAAAATAAACGGTCTGTTAGGCGAAATTCCGCACCGATACCATCTCACCACTTGCAGTTAAGCGCCGGTACGGCCAAGAGGTTAATGGTTAAAGTATGCACGATTGAGCCATGTGATTGGTGTGCTCGATTCATTATCACAAGTTCAGACGTGAAACTTCAGATGCATCCAAAATGCGCTGGTGGTGTAGTGGTAACACACTCATCTTGCACGCCAGGTATACGGAGTTCTAATTCCGGCACGGCCATTGGATGTGCACTGCTGATGATCTCTAATGAGAGCGGAACTCGAGTCCAGTGCTAGCCCCCTTTGGTGTGGACTCACCAAAATAATCACGCCAGGACAGAAGATGACTGTTCAAACGAGTGATGTGAGCATGAAAAATCCAGTGTCCTCCAAATGCCGGTAGCCATTGACACAGCTAGAAGACATTAGAATTTCCAGAATGTTGTCACCGCGTACAATTTATATACGACGCATTACACATGTGTCGTTGACATGAGATATAAGCAGTGCAACTTTGGTGGTTATGTTGACGAAAGCGTTAGCTCGGAAGATTCGGACCGCGTACTGAGTATTACAGCTGGAGGACGGGAACAGTTTATAGGCAAAAGTAAAGTTCACGGAATCAGTCCCAGAGTGAATATCTAGATATCAGAAGCCAGTGCCTCTTCTTTTTCTTCAGCTGATGCAGTCGCAGCCTCAATCACCGAGTTCACAATCGACCCCCTTTCTGGTCACACATCTCACTCCCGTATCGAGCGGTACGAAGACATATTTAAAGTTGCTTTTTCCAAGTTTGATGGGAGAAGGATTACTGTTGCGAAAACCCGGTATACAGGAAGACGAGGGGTATACAAACTTCATTATCCCCAAACTAACCCGCGGTTTCAGGTTTAATGAAACGGTTAGAAAACTGCCCCGGATATTCGGCGACCAAGCACGACTGCCCGATATTCGTTTCCACTGCCTCAAGCTGGTAGAAAAAAGGTGAAGACGATTTACTCATTTTAACCGGTATTGCCAATACAGAAAGCTAGTATTTCAAGCCTAGCCCAACGAGTTAGAAGCAGTTCAAGAGCCTCATTTGTGCACAAGGTCTCCAGTCATCCCAAGATGCAGTTTCCGGAACCCGGCGGCTTCACAAATTGAACAAGATGCTGAAATGAGGTTGCAGAGCCTCACCACAGAATGTCAACGCCTCACCAACGTAAAGCATGACAGGACTATGATTAGCCAGTCCCCCTCTAGTTAAAGCAGCTCAATGCACGTAATCAACTCTATCTTTTCAAAGAAATCCGAGAACAAGCCCGGTCGATAGCAGGGCAGGCCTCCTATAAGTTTCTGGCATTGCGGTGAGTAGCATTTTCCTATTTATCGCCAGCTCAGACGTCAAAAATATTTCAGCTTCAATCGTCGTGGCCACAAAGATCTGTATCTTTCTCAGATGCCGCAACCACCACCACATCAACGTCCAGCTCACAAGTCGCGATCCAACTCGGCGACGGTGACATTCAAAGTTTATTTTGATTGCCGAAGTAAGTTTGTGACGGTTCCTATCAACAACAACCAAGTTCGTTTGCAGCTTGATACTGGCTCCAACATCACGCTGCTCGGTGAACGAGCGTGGAAACGAATTGCTAAGCTACTGAATATTGGGCCCGTAATGCTTCTAGCAGTAGGCTGATATTGACTGGCGAAATTTACTGCTCCATTAGCTTCTATGGCCCGACGGCACAGGTCACATGCTACCGTCATGCCTCAAACTGGACCACACGAGTCTGAATCGGATCGCTAAGTTGAATCTAGTGGAAAAGCCGATTATTCCTATTTGCAGCCTCACGCACACAGTATCCTGAGTTGCCACCAAGCAAACACAATTCTCGTAGCGTTCACACAATGCAATACGACGACTGGCCCCAGCCTTTTGGGATCAACGGGACTTTACACCTTTTCCTGAGTGACTTGTTGTGACTGGCGGTTAAATAACACCGGCTAGCACTGATTCCCACCATGAACAAATATTTTAGCTACAAACACTGGACCTATCCATTCATGTCAGTGGATTAACACTGCGGCTACCAGAGTTCTGGAATACCAGGAAAACAGAACCTTCTTTTCTTGGTGTGGTGGTTCAACGGGATATGCACTTGCAGAATTTCCTCCCGTAGTGTGAGCCAAAATTTCCTTGAATTGTTCTGCTTGTGAAATTATATTTGACTTACATCGATATTTTGTTTAGTTCATCAGGCTCCTTAGTTAATCACAGCACACCGGTGTTCGCCGCGGGTTTTGGCGATCCACAGAGCGATAGTGTCTTCGCCGCAATGCCAAACCTGTTTTCAGGCCAAATCATTCGGTAAAGTATGCAGCCCTGCCCATGGTTGGCGAGGAACTAGACCACCTGCAGAAGGCCGAAACGATCGTAATGGTGAAGAAGTCTAACGGAACCATAGGCTTTTATGTAGACTTTTTAAATGGTCTCACTGCTACACTGGATAACCATCTATACATTGCCTATTCCAGAAGATTCGCTCGCAAAACTGAATTTCAAGGATTGATCCACAGGATCGAGGCGTTCGCCTTGTCGTTCAGCGGCCGCAGTTTGCCTGAAAAATACAGGCGAAAACGCTCCCAGTGCAAAGCAGTAAGCTTTCCAGCGCGAGGACTTGCATAAGAGTCCAATATTCAAGCACCGCAGGACGCGTTTCATAGTCCACGGATTTAAGGTCAGCAAGTATTTTCGTAGCAGCTCTTTGGACACGCTCAATGTGCACTGAGTAGACAACTTGTTCTGACGTACGTCCAATAGAGTATTCGGAAGTTCATGCGAGTATTACGGGAGGTGCGCCGAATCATCCATAGAACGGCAAGTGCCTTTTGATACTATGCCTTATGGTAAAAAAAATAATGATAATCGTTGAGCTGTAACGCCATGTTACCCAAAGGAAGCACGAGGGCTGGGATATTGCCAGGTTTCCCAAGCCTAGACATGGAAAATCGACGGGCAGAGGTCGGATTCGAACAACGGACCTTCTGGTTAGTAAATTTGCACTCTAACTACTGAGCCATCACAGCCCCCTTCTTATGGTGCAGTGAGAAAGACATTTTTAAAGAGAACCAGGTACCCAATCCTTTTTTGGTATTTATCCTCGTAATGTCTTCTGGTCCATCCTCACCATGCACGAAAAAAGCGTTCACCGAGTCCCCTTCGAATGACATATGGACGCACTTTTCGTCATTCGGAAGGTGCTAGTCCAACGACTCCCTAGTTTGCAGCGTCTACATCCATTTGGAGGGCACTAACACTTGAAGTCCAGGATTCCAATTCGTCAGCAAAATCATCATCATCAAACGACTCCCTGCAGCGTCTACATCCATTTGGAGGGCACTAACACTTGAAGTCCAGGATTCCAATTCGTCAGCAAAATCATCATCATCATATCATCCATGACATCAGTGTTCAACACCGATGCTTCACTGCCGTACAACCATGACTTATTTGAAAGCCTTATTGTAAAGAAAAGAATAAAGGTGGACGGGGGAGGGACTTAGTGCTAGCTTAACACAATCATTCCGAGGTGCCTACACCTCCAGACATTCACTCAGGCAATCTGGATAGAAACTGACAACAAGAACGCCACTGACGTCGGTTGACAGCCATATCTTGTAGTGTCTCCAACCAGGCACAGTGAGGATCACGCGGTCCCCATCCTGGAAGGCGAGTAGCACTGACAGCACACAAGCGTTTCGTGATCTCCTTCATACTCCTCTGCCAAGTCAAGGGCTGGCCACCTCTCTGTTTACGCCACTCTGAGTTGGGCATGGAAAACAGTACCCTCTTCGGCAAACGATGGTTCGGCATACGTAACACATGTCCCAACCAACGCAGCTTCTGGTGCTGGACACATTCTTCAATGGAAGTACCCGTTACACAACCGAAAACACGCTTTCTAACTGCCTCATTACGGATTCGCCGACACCAACCCACACGAGCTATGGTTCTGAGACAACGATTGTCGAACA